GACGATGAATCGATCTGTTTAATCGATATTTGTATCTATATCAGGAATATTAACCAAAATCGAACCATGGAATATTTTGGACCAAGCATTGAGCATTTTAATCGATATCTCTCGCTAGGTAACTCTTTTCCTTAGATCGATAAAAATTTATGTTCTGAAGGCAAAAGTTGGAAAATATATCAGTCTATATCTCCACCTCTATTCGTAAGATATTTTTGGCGTTTCCAGAGGTCTAGAGGACCTTTAAATATAAAGTTTAAGATTATGTTGTTTCTGAATATATTACCTATTTTCATAAAATATTGATTTTACATATATCGAAATAAAAGCTGATCGATACATCAGTTTACATAATGTAGTATATAGGGTATCTACTCGCCTATCACATCCACACATAGAGTCCACTTGTTGTTTATTTTTTATATTGACTCAAGGATGCTATCGATATCGAGCAATAGCCGAAACACTCAAATGCCATGACTTTTGCAATTTGCATCAAAGATTGTGTCACGCCTAGTTTCGCTACACTTCGTTGCGGCAGGTCGCACTCTCTTGCCGCGCCTTGGCTGCCCGTTTCACTTCCCCTTGGAGAAAAATAACCCTCATCTGGCTGCAGCCAGCGGTTTTTAGGTGGTGAGCACTGTAGTTGGCCAAGGCACGCCTGGAATTTCGTTCACTTTGAGCTTGACTCGGGAACAGGGAGCTGGAGGTTAGAATTGGAGGCTGGGAGTTGGAGGCTGGGAGCTCGTTGCTTCTTTGCGTGCTTTCGTGTAGGTTCAAATATTTTGCGACTAGAAAACCCAAACGACCCAGCCCAAGAAATGTGCGCCAGTGGTGGGGGCTTACATATATAAATACATACATACTTATACATACATATATATTTACATCGTGCCGGGTCAGTTGAGTGCGAGCAATTTAGAAGAATTTGGTTTTACATGTAAAATGTTTCAAACAAAATTGTATGGGCCAAATACTTGAATATTTCAAATATCTATTTCAACAGAAATGTGCCAACTATTTTGTTTTCGCTAAATTTCAGTTCTTACGCTTGCCATATTCCAAATATTATTCTTCTATATTTCATTTCATTTGATTGAAGGCTTGCTTTAACAAACAATACAACATATATATAGAAAATTCATTTTTGAACAATTTAATATATAATTTATCTGCTTTTATTATTTATTGATATTATTCAAATGTTACCAACTTTCATAGCCAATTTCATTACCTATTCCCACAGCTGCCCTACTGTGCGTATGCGCAATATGTGCATGAAACGCTTTTGTCAGTCGCGCTGCTCAGAGAGCTATTTGTTGTCATCGAGCCACTTTTTAGTTGTCAATCTTTCGTCAGTATGTTGTATACTGTTCTTTGTTTTGTTCTTCGTTCTGGCTGAGGTCCTCTTTCTAGCTAAAAACCCTGGACACAAGTGCCCAAAGTTTTGTGCTTGCAACTTTTTTGTGCATTAATATTTTTCTTTTGCTTTTCCTATTTAGATGCATTGCTTGATGCTGCGCTGCGCTGCGCTGTGCTGTGCTGTGCTGTGCTGTACTGCGCTTCGGTTCGCGTTTTGTTGCTTGGCTTGGGAGCACTTGAAATGCAATTCCCAAGGAAATGTTCAGCTCAAGAATATCAAAATACGCGCCATTGGCGTCCACAGCATGGACAAACTCTGAAATTTCTTTGTGCTTTACGAAAGTTGTTTTTTTACCCTCATATATATTTTTCCCGCTAAACTCAGTCAGTCAGCCTGTCTGTCAATCCAGCAGACAAGCTATCAGTCAGTCAGTCAGTCAGTCAGGGAGTGTGTGAATAAGTGCTAAGGTCAGCTTTTAGCTCTACTCGCTTCAACAAAGATTTCCCAAAGTTGAACTGCTGAAGTGGCTTTATATTGAAAAGTTAAACTTAAATGTAAAGCATTGATAATCTGGATTGGTTTATAGCGAAAGCATTGAATGCATTGTCGAATGTCTTCTTGAATGATACATTTGTTTTTTTTATGGCGTATGAAGTCTTTCAATCGAAATAGGTATCGATAGCTTATAGCACGATAACATGTTGATTCGCCACAAATCGAATTACAATGCAGTTGAGTTGCATTAGCAAAGAGTTGAATTTGATTCGACTAGTTCGATTCTTTGAAAGCGAGTCGATATTTTTCCTCATTCCTTATTGACTGCACTCGCTGAACCAATGGGGTTTTCCATTCAAGCTGAATGTCAAATTGAAACAGCGCATTTTCGGAACTAGTTTCTGTTTATACCTAGCAAATGAGTTCCGCTTTGATTCGGAATTAGTTATATTTCTGAATGTCGTTTCATATGTTTTGTTCTACGAGAGTTAAGTTGCTCCTCTGAACCATTTTTGAACCAGGTCCTATTGATATTACCAAATGGGTAAATTCTGTTTCGGAATTGGTTCTATTTAAAAATGTGCGTTTTACATTTCTCAATATTAGTTACTAAGATATATAATAAACTATCAGATAAACCAACCAACCAACGCAACTTACTACCTCAATTCCGCTTTGGAACTAGTAGAACTAGTTCATAATATTTATAACTGTTCCTTTTAAGTTTTCCTAACTTGAAAATAAATAAGTTCCTCTTCGGAACTAGTTCGAATTCGTAATGACTCACTGGAAAAGCATTCGTTGAAATTAAAATTCGTTGCAAATCCCTAAGAATTAGATAACCGACTAAATAAGTTTTCGGAACTAGTTCCAAAGAGGTAAATTCATAATTTTCCTTAGGAATATCGAAAATTCTACGCATATAACTTACCAACAGTTTGCATATCAATAATAAATAGTTTATCTCATCCTCGGAACCAGCTCTTTTTAACATAATCCACCCGCCAATGTTACCAACTGCACAACATTTAAAGGGTTTTGCTGTTATTTCTTGGAGCTTCGGCTGCTGTTGTCCTCAGTTCGCATTCCCGAATAAGAAATGCATGCTGGCATTTAAAATGTGGCACATAAAATGCGGTTGCTGAAGTTGCAAACAACAGTGAAGGGAACCGAAACCGAACATCGCGTAGTTTTGCATGTTAACATAACGTTGCTTATGCACTGCTGTGGCTTCTCCTGCGCTTCTTGCTGCCAGCGCGCAAGCAGCAACATTTCAAATGCCGCACTAAATTACTAAAACACGCACTGCCACGCCCTCTGCTTACTACTCAGTTCCGCTATTTACTTATGTGCCGCAATGCCACAAAAATACAAAAAATAAGAGAGAGACAGAATGGAAAAAACTTTCAGCTGGGGTTACAATTTACGCTTTGCCTTGCATTTTTCATGTGTTTTGTTGCTCTACTCGTTTTGCTGACAAACTTTTTTATGGCCGCAACATACAACAATGGCTTGTTTTTCCCGTATATGTGTGTGTGTGTGTGTGTCTGTGGTTGACTGTGTGTTTTTGTGTGCGTGCGTGTGGGTTCTGCATGTAATGTGCATCTGGCAGAAAAACTTTGTTAAATCATTAAGAGCCGTACTAAAATGCAAAAACAACCAACTAAGGCGGCTGCGACTCTCTGACTCTCTGAGACGCAAAAACTGTATGTGAGAGCAGCTCAAAGTTCTCACAATGTTTTCTCAAGAAACATGAACTACTTGAAGTACATTCATAGGTATTAAAAACTATATGTATGTTTACTTTAAATACATAATTATTCCGGAAAGCCAACGTAACATATTGTTTAATATAGAATTTAATAATTTCTTGATCAGCTTTCGATTTCACTTAACTTTGTATGCATGGAATATGAAAATCTTACTAATCGTTGAATAATAGCAGAATCCTCACATTAACAGAACCTTAACAGACTTGTTCCCATTCGTTCCGAGTCGGAACTTTCGAATCACTGCCTATCTATCACTCTCTCTCTCTCTTCCTTGTTCTATCTGAGTTTCTCTGTCTCTCTCTCTGTCTCTATTCCCCTCTTTTCCTCCTCTCCTGCAATGCCTTTACCTTTGCCACTTTTAACACTGACCCACATATCTCTCCATCATCCGCTGCCCGAGAAAATCAAGCTGTACTAATGAAGTCGCTCGCTCTGATGTCTGAAAGCCCTCTACCGTAAGTGAAGCCTTAACCTATACACACACACACACAAACACAGCCTCCCACGCACATGCCTCTTGGCTCTTTGGCACGTTGTCTATTAGTGGCTGCATTGGTGCGTCAAAAGCCACATCCATTGGCTGCCTGTTGGCCTGTTTGCCCCTTGCCATTTGGCACTTATGCTGCGCTTGGACACAGATACACACAGCGAAGCCCAGGGATATGGCCTGGCCGTTCGCAGTTTAGTTGCTTACCTGTCTGCAAGTGAAATCAACAATTAACCTAAACTGCACTTAATAGGTGTCTGTGAGAGGAAAGGAGAGCTTGACTTGGGAATACCCTCTATGTGAGATCTGAGTGTGGATGGAAATAAATGTATATATATGAGTGATGAAATGATAATAGGGATAAAATTGTTCATAATAGAAACTTACAAGAAAAATACTAATTATATTCTAATATCAATATGTTGATATAATAATATGATGATATGATTGTGATGATGTTAAAAAATAGATTAAAACAAATTCCCGAATGACTTTGCTATTCTTCTTTATGTAGATAAGTTCAAATACAGATAGAAGGATTATATTAAAATATTCATATGTATTAGCAGAAGCAAAAACCATCTAAATCGACACCTATCTTGTTTTCCCTCATTATGAAAAACTCAAAATTCATGATAAAAATTAATCTTCAATTTTTTATTAAATTTGTTTTTTATTATATTTTGGTTTATATTGAAAAAAAAGAATGTAAATTACACTTTTCACAGATCAATTTTATGTTTTATTTAAAAATATATATATATTTTTTTTTTGTATTTCATTTTTTTATGTATATATGCATTTATAATTTTTTTTTTTGTATTTTTACAATATATATTCAATATGAATTCAGCTTACAACTGAGTTTTAGAAACTTGCGGGCTTAAGAATAAATTTGTTTTTAGTTGACATGCTTGGAGTATGTTTTGTTGTACACAGTTTGCTGCTGCTGTTCGTTATGGTTTAGTTCCACTGTACGTCCTTGAGCTGACGCGGATCGACGCTGAGTCCGAGCTTCTCCAGCTTGCGCACCTTATGCATCTGCTTTGTCAGCTTGCGCTTGAAGACAATCTCCCGATTCAGATTCATGATCTCAATGGTATCCAGCTGTCGTATGTTCTTGATAGTCTGCAGTATTAGATTGTCCGTGAGATGCAGTTTGATCGTGGACATCTTCATGAAGGGCGCATCACGACGTCGCAGCTCCTCGCGATAGGCGAAGAGCGTGTAGGGCAGGGAAGGCAGCTGCGGCAGCGGACGCTCGAGACCCGGAAACAGTTGCTCAGCCATATTTCTATAGATATTAAGGAACTCGGGGTATATGTAAGACGCTAGTTATATGAGGCAACTCTCTCGGTAGAGTTTCGGTTATGTGTGTGAATGGCTTGGGCGTTCGTCGTGGACTGAGTGCCTCGGTCTAGGATCCGTGATTTTTATAGCCAGCCTCTCAACTACCTGCTTTATGGCTCAGCATCTTCTATTGTTTTCTGGAAAATTTCGTTGCTGTTCGGGGGAAGTTTGAGCAGCTGGGCACGGTGCTACCTGCACTCGGGCTGCATCCTAAACAGCTGCAAGTGTCACGCGATTAGTCTCAAGTCTCAGATCCTCGACTCCTTCTCTCGTCCGTCTCTTCCTATTACAGCTCACGTTCGGGCGCATCTATTTGAATTTTATTTGCGATGATAAAAATTGTAAAGAGCTCGTGACCTAGAAATGCTCAACTTCAGTATGAATGTGTTTAGTTTTCGTTTTTCATTTTTGTTTTTAGTTGCTGCACCTAAAATTTATTCGGCATTTACCATTTTTACAGCCATTTTAAATGGTCGGTTTTTTTCGCTCTCTATTTGGGCGTCCTTTGAAATTGGTTTGCCGCAATGCAATTAAAATGAATTGCATTCGCTCAAAGGCTATCGCAGTGGCATTTCGGCTCAAAGGACTGCATTACATTTACTTAATTATACAAATTAGCATTGGGCGACGCTCCTGTGTATTAAGCATTCACGCTTTGTACAATTCCTACCCATTGACGGTATTCAAAATTTATATGTAATGCATTGCATTTCGATCGGATTTCAAACAGGTAACAGTTGCCTAAAAGGGGCGTTGATTAACTAAATTGTGAAAATGTATGAAATATCTGCAACATTAAAGTCTAAAATGTTTCTTATGCAATTTAAATTTGCTTAAAAAAAGTATTTTTATTTATTTACATAATATGTGTTGCAGTTTGACATGCACTTTGACAGCGGCTGTCACTCACATATATTTAGCTTTATTTTCACTTTGTATTTGTTTGATGCTAAATTGCATCTATCACTTATTTCTTTTGATGATGTTTGTTTGTACTTGTCGAAATTCTATGAGAGCTGTTGTCAATAACTGCAGATGTGGACTTGACAGAAAATAGTGATCAAAGGGAGGAATATCTATTAAACCAATGAAAAGTTAAGTTATAAATATACATTTTTTTTTAGCTATTCATTCAGCTTTACATTGGTTTAATAGTTAATTCCTTTGATCACTACTTGCTGTCAAGTCCACATCTGCAGTTATTAAAATCAGTAAGACTAAACTGATGCAGTCAAATTCAAATTTTTAGTCATGATATAACTGTATTTAATCATGATATAACTGTATTATGTCAAACTGATAGAATCTTATACGTCTAGACAAAATTATAGGTTCAGTTTAGCAGCTGCTGTTACGCAGTTCAATAAAGACTGTTAATTCACTTTTATAGATTTTCAGTACTAAATTGAATCTCTACTCTTTTCTTTTAAAGCTCAGAAATCTTTGTCTGATTATCAAAAGCCATTTATACTGCTATTGGTGTTAATTTCGGCTTAACATTCAGTTTAACAGCAGTTACACAACTTATTTGTAAAATCCGTTTGTTAAACAGTTTAGCTAACAGTTTCTGCTTACTTTGGCAAAATTTAACAGCAGATTCTATTTCTGTCTTATCAACAAGAAGATCTATGTGAAATTTACGACTAATCTCTTTTAACTTAAAAGCCTGTATGGAGCGTAGTTTAACATATCTCAACAGCTGCTGTTAAGCTTAATGTTAAATTCCAAGTCAGGCTATCGCCTGCCGCTTAACATTAAGTTTACATGTAACTCCTAAATCTCCAATCAACATTTTATCACGTTACAACAGATATTTCGTATAATTTAACAATCAGCTTAAGAGGAGCTTCCCATTGAATGATAAACTCTCAATAATTCCTTTTGGCATCTCAACAATTCAAGGCTTTAGTTATTTATGCTTGCTTTAGTTTTAACATGCAGTTTAACAACAGCTGTTAAGCAGCTACGCTTGTCTGCCAGCTGCTCGGCTGCCGCTGAGTTCAATGTGTTAATCACAGCAGCATTTGTGGCATTCAACCCCGAAATGATTGCCAAACACATTATCTGTATTATTAATGAGCTGCATGCCGCACATGCCACAGGAGGCAGACACAGGAGGTTATCCCATTGTTGTTGTTCTTGTTGTTGGTTGGCTGAAATGTCAGTGTGTTTCAGCTGGCTGGGTTGGTCATTCTCTTTACTCTGTTCACGGTGCGTTGCGTTTTTATTATTGTGTCGTTTTTTGGGTGTTTAATTAATTGAAAGCATTTTTTATCGCCACATTTTTGCGGCTGACACCGTCGGCGCACGCCTTTTCTGTCTCGCGCTGACCGTAATAATATTGACTTTCCGCATGGCCACGAGCGTGGCGCGTGGTGCTAAAGGATGCAGTGCCAGTATTTTAAATGCATTCAATAAATGCCAAACCATAAATGAAGCCGAAGCCGAAGCTGAAGCTGATGCTGATGCTGATGCCGATTCTGGTGGTGAGCTTCTCGTGCAGTCATTTATTAATTGAAATATGCATTTATAAATGCGTTTAATCAAAATTGCTTTTATTTTTCACAATAACCATTTTCATCAAGTGCTTTAAGAACATTTATTCCTGGTGTTTAAGGTGGAGTTAAAGAAAATTATGGAGAGTCTAAAAAGGTTTGAATAATACTTTTCTATTCAAAAAATTGCGAAATAGTTTATATGGAAGGATATGTTAGCTAACATATGTAAAAACAAGTAAGAAGGCTCCAGTCGAGACTGCTCGACTAGGAGATACCCTGAACCCTCCAAGCTGATATTCTAATCATTCTGGACTTCGTTTATTCATACATACATACACATGCACTTATAAGCACGCGCTCTGCTAACAGCGCAGTAAGCAGCGACTGCGCTTGGGCTGCGCTGCAATGTGGGCAATATTATGAGAATTTATTTGTTGAATAATTTCTTTTGTAGACGTATGATCTTAATGAAACTTTCAAAGCGTAATCATATGGCTAAAATGTGTGTACATTCCAAAGCACAAGTCTCTAGTACTTGAAATGCGTTTTTTACAAAGTGGGGGCGAATGGGGCGTGGTATCCAAAATCTGTAAATTACAAAATCTTTGTATTCATTAACTTTATATACAACGCAAATTTGAAGTCTCCAGGTCTAAAAGTGTTCAAATTAGGCTGAAAAAACAAAGTCGATTTTTCGATTATTCTCGATAAAAAAGTTATCGGACAAGTTATCGAAAAAATAAAGCAAACTTGTACTGCCTATGGTATACACGAGTATGCATGCCAAATTTCAGCTCTCTAGCTCTTATATCTTCTGAGATCCTTTTGCTCATACGGACGGACGGACGGACGGACGGACGGACAGACGGACAGGGCTATATCGACTCAGCTCGTCGCCCTGAATATATATACTTTATGGGGTCTGAGATGATTCCTTCTGCCTGTTACATACTTTTCACAAAACCATTATACCCTGATTTCCCATTTTCAATGGGTTGAGGGTATAAAAAAGCAAGCTTTAATGTAAAGTTTCTTTGTTTATGCCAAGAAATATAATAATCCAAATATAACAGCCATTTATTAACAGAAGTGTGCATTAACATTATGTTAACTTTCATATGCTTACTTATAGTGACTGTCGGTGAATTGGAGACCTTTTTTAATAGGCAAAGGATGCTCTCCTCGTTTATAAAAAAACCAATGCAGACTTAGCCTCGAGCTAGAATTTTATTTTCATTTCTTTACTGGTTAAACAAAGTTCTTTTATATATATTTTTCTCGAAATGAAATCTAAAAATTTTAAGCCGTCTGCATTTTGAGCCACACATTTCAAAATAGTTGCCATTCCCCGTAGCAAGGTAACGCTCGTAAAGCGATTTTGCCTTTTAGCCAAATTTGATGGGTTTTGAGCCAGAGCAAGAGCTCCTCATGTTGCCGGGAGTCTTAAAACATTTCAACTGCAATTGCCTGACGGGGCTCAAAATGTAAAGCTGGCAACAAGCGTGCGGGATTTGAAATATGCCTGACCAGAGGGTGGAGGTAGGGAGACGGCGATAGGGTGGGAGAGGTAGAGGTGAGGTAGAGGTTAGGTAAGAGCGAGATCAAAAGCGTATGGGTCTATTTGCATACATTGATGTTATATAAAAGCCAAAAGAACAGCAGCGAGAGCAACAAAATAAACAGCAGCGGCAGCAGCTACAATAATAATAATGCGAGCTGTAATAAGCCTTTTTGGCAAAAGTTGTTTGTTTAATGCCCAGGCTCCTTGAAGCGGCTAACAACATTTGAATAAATATTTCAAAACGTTTTTGCCTGGCCTGCGGCCAGTTACCTGTGCAGCATATTGAATGAGTATTTCAGCGAACTGTGCAAACACACATAGACGCACACACACGTTGATATATGCGCACCTACAATTGAATTACCTGGAAATTGACTGGTTGTAAAACTGTCTCGAACTCTGAGTCGATGTAGTTTTTGGGTTTATTTGGCAAACGCGCATTACGCTTGACAAATCCATCAAAGTCCTGCAGCGCACTGAAAGCGTGCCAGGAAGTGCAAACAAACGCTGTGTAGCGCAGTGTAAGCGCCGGCAGTGTAAGGCATCGTGTGCTACCACAAATTGCAATTAGTGTCCCACTGTTGATTGATAGTCGCGGATAAATTTCACTACGTTTGACATGAAATTTAAAACCATATATTAAATATATAGAAAAATACATTATTATATGTATATATATAGCAATTTAGATATTGTCGCTTAACAATTTATCAAGATTTAATAGCTTGTGATAATTTGATAATTAGACAAGATATTAGGCTTGCCTAAAAAAAGGCTAGAATCTCCGGTAGAAGCTTTAAGAGCAAATCAAGCAGCTTGGTATACTGGTAACGGTAATTCAATCTAGAAAATAATAGCAACCAGCTAACTAATCATACAACACAATAGCAAAAATGAGCTTTCAAAGCACATTCACAGCTTTCATGAATGCAGAAAGAGGCATTAATATGACTTGCTCTAAAAGCGCATTGGAGCATTTCAAGTAAAACTCAAAAGCTTTAGAGCAGGTTAA